CTGACCTTATGGTTCGCAGCCCGATTCGTAACCACTACGCTACCAGAGCTCCTTTACCTACTTTGTAAAAATTTAATTTTCAGCTGTATGAATAATACTCAGTTTCTCCTTATTGAAAAATCACAGGTAAAGCTCAGATCATTGGGACAGCCTTCTCCAATCCCATGTCTTCCCTGATAGCCATTGTTTTTAGTTGGCTGTTAATCTTGGGCTTTTCCTCACCACTAAGTGGTCTTTTACATTCAGGAAACATGTATGCTGCATCCCCCACGTTCCATACTAGGAACATAAACAGGGGTAAGCCTTCACCTTCAGAAAGTTCTCTGTCTAGGACGCGAGGTAGACACACCCCCAGTAACAATAACCTGGGTGATACGTTAGGGAAAGCCACAGGAAGGAGGTATAACTTAGGTCTGCCATTGAACATACGTTGGCTGTAATCAGCAACCAGCTCTAGGTGATGTGTCTGCTATCTCTGCACTTGGGCAGAAATGAGGAGAGGCGAAGGACTTCCAGGAGGAGGACGCAGCTCTAAGCCATCGGCATGATACCTACGTCTCTGTTTTGGGAACTTTGAGTTCTAGGGCAGGTCTGGTTAGAACATGTGTTTTTGGAAGAAGTAAGTAGCAATGTCATAATTTTCTGTGTCCAAATGGAATGTATTCTCCTAAATAGATTTTTTTATTTCGTGAGGCTTCTGTTAATAAAGCCAACCAGAGTCTTTAGAGCCACAGGCTTAGCTTGTCCAGTACTATTTATCTAATGGAGTTCTAGTGTGGCGCTGTAGGAAAAGCACTGGACTGCTAACCACAGGGTTAATGGTTCAAACCCAGCAGCTGCTCCTTGGAAACCCTATACTGGGTTGTTAAGAGTCAAAACTGACTTAACAACTTCTGTCCAGTACTCCCGTAGTTGAGTGTATTTACAATGGGTGTGTGTGTTTGCGCTGTAGTCTCGATGTCAGAGCCTTTACAGCAGTCAGACAGCGAAGGTAGCAAACTGGAGTGCAGGTGAGGCCACCCTTCCTCGGTGCCTCCTGGTTGCTGGCCATGTGTGGGATGACCAGTGAAATAAACCTAGTGCCCAAACCAGGACATGCTGGAGAATGATATTTTGAATTTTGCCAGGACAGCATGCATGAACTGGGACTGTCCTGGGGAAACTTGCACCCCTAACCTTGACAAAAGGAGCCAGCTATACCTGGTGGTGCAGTGGTGAGGCTTCAAAACCACCAGGTGCTCCATGGGAGGAAAATGTGGCAGTCAGCTTCCATAAAGATTCCAGCCTTGGAAACCCTTTGGGGCAGTTCTGCTCGGTCCTATAGGGCCAGCATGAGTCAAAATCAACTTAACAGCAATGGCTTAAAAGTGCCTGATCTTTAGAATTTTTCAAGAGGTACCAGAAATTTGAACTTTTACGTGAGATTCTCTGATTTTAAATGGCTTCGTTTGTTTAAATGCACCATGTGTTAGCTGAAAACTCAGCTTTAGTGTGCCTCACTGTAGCTGCGGAGAGTGCACACTGATGTTTTGTAATCAGCTCCACCCGCAGAGTGTTCATTTCTCTATCAGCAATCTGTTTATCTATAACCTTTAATAAGATCTTAAAATGGTATCACTTCTGTGGAAAATCATTCAGTGGGCCCCCAAAAAGTTGAACCTACCATGTGATCCGGCCACCCCACTCCTAGATCCACACCCAGAAGAAATGAAGGCAGGAACCCGCGCTCAGGTGGACGCTGCAGCACTTTCCCCAAGAGCCTCAAGGAGGAGAGAGCTTAAATGTCCATCACAGCTGAACGGATAAGCACCATGTGGCCTATGCATACTATGGAATCTTATACATCTGTAAAGAGAAGTGACATTTTGGATGTGGCATGTATCAAAACTAGCCAGCCCCCAATAAATACTGTATGATCTCACTTGGTTGTTATGTGCTGTGGAGTCGGTTCTGACTCACAGCGACCCTTTACAGGGTTTCCAAGGCTGTAAATCTTTACGGGAGCAGAAAGCCTCATCTTTCTCCTGCAGAACAGCTGGTAGTTTTGAACTGCTGATCTTGCGGTTCATAGCCCGATTCGTAACCACTACGCTACCAGAGCTCCTTAGATGAGCTCACTTAGATGAGATAAAGCAACTGTGGGTGTGGCGCTGTGGGTTAATGCTCCAGACTGCAAAGCCATTTGAACTGCCAAGGTCAGTGGTTCAAACTCACCGGCTGCTCCTTGGAAACCCTATACAAGGGTTGCTATGAGTCGGAATCGACACAATGGCACTTAACAACAAAAACATAGAAACCAAAGATTATGAATGTTTATCTGAGGGAGGGGTACAGTGAGCTTATGTTACTGGTGTGGAATATTTTGGAAAAGGGTCGCAGTAATGGAGCCTGGTGTGGCACACTATAGGATAAGCACTGGACTGCTAACAACAGGATCCACAGTTCAAACCCACCAGCCGCTCTCAGAAACCCTATACAAGGTTGCTGTGAAACAGAACCAACTGAGCTCAATGGCACAGAACAACAACAATGGCAGTTGTTGTTTTTGTTGTTAAGTGCCGTCGAGTCGGTTCCGACCCATAGCGACCCTGTACAGGGTTTCCAAGGGTGTAAATCTTTACGGGAGTAGAAAGCCTTATCTTTCTCCCGTGGAGCGGCTGGTAGTTTCGAACTGCTGACCTTAAGGTTCGCAGCCCGAATCGTAACCACTACGCTACAGTACAACATGAAAAATGTAAGCAACGTCATTAAATTGTAAATTTGGAACTGGTTTGGTTAGTGACTGTTTTGATGTGTTTATTTTCACCACAAATAATTGCTTAAAGAATAAACACTGGTTGTTGCTCGCAGTCTCTGGGAGAAAGCGGGTGGTTCTTTTGGTCTCGCTGCATTCAGTCAGGCATCGGTGGTTTGGGTAGGTAGCTCTGCTGGTCTTGGATGGGGTCCTTCATGTGGGGGACTTGATTGGTTATAAAATGTTTTAGATGGCCTTGATAGGACATCTGGGCTTCTCTCCACCTTGTTTCTCATCCTCTAACGGACCCAGACTTGTTTACATGGTGGTGACAGATAGAACAGATGAAACAGGATCTCCTGAGGCCTACACATGGAACTGGTACGCCAGCGCCTCCCTCAAATTCTCTATTGGCCAGAGCATTTTGTAGACTAGGAACACAGGCTCAATCTCTTGATGGAAGATGCTGCAAAGCCGCCTTGTAAAAAAGGATGTGGGTACAGGGAGGAGTGAAGAATTGGGCACATGATTACCACCAGCCTACCACAACTGTTGTTGTTGTTCAGTACCGTGGAGTGGGGTCCGACCCATAGCAACCCTGCACAGGGTTTCCAGGGCTGTAGATCTTTACGGGAGCAGAACGCCTCATCTTTCTCCCATGGAACTGCTGGTAGTTTTGAACTGCTGACCTTGAGGTTGGCAGCCCAGCTCGTAACCACTACACTATCAGAGTTCCTTGCCTACCACGATTACGTCGCCATTTTTTTTAAGTATGTAAGAAAGGGACGAAGAATCTTTTCTCTTTTTATTTATTTTTTTTTCCCTTCAGATAAACGAATCCAGCTGTACCTGAAAAGCCTCCTTTGTCTCCCAAGCCCTCCAAAATGCAGGCCTCCCATCCCGGGAGGCCTGGCTGTCATTCAACAGGAGCTGGACATGCTGGGCTCACAGTTTGCAAACATTGTGAATCTCAACAAGCAAGTGTATGGACCTTTCTATGCAAACATACTGCGGAAGCTGCTCTTCAGTGAAGAAGCGGTGGGGAAGGCAGAAGCCTCCTCTCCTACTAACTAAAGAGAAACTGACCTTGGACGAGAGATTGGAAACCTAGCACTTTGGTAACTGGTCCCTTTCCACCGAGGGCACTACAAATGTGGCATTTTCTTGGACCTGTCCATGGTGCAGTGTGGGGCTGAGTCTGCGTAATCCAGAAATATTAGCAGTACAAAGTCATGCACAGCCAGAGAAACTGGTTGTACATCATTTTCAAGTTCAAAAGAGATGTTTTCAATGACCAGGAAGCAATTTGTAATGAATTCTATTACCAATATAATACTTATAAAATGTTTTCTTAAGCACTTATATCTGATTTATTCACTCAACCCTTAAGAAGTTGCATTCCTAGACTTGTCATTATCATACCTAATGATTTTTAATTTTGCTACAACTTTTAAAGGGTTGAAGGTGGGGAGAATAACCAAGGGTATTGATGTTCTAAATAAATGATGTAAAGTTGGCATATAATTGTATTTGAACTGTATAATTATAGTTTATTAATGTATAAGAGAAACTTACATAGTAAGTTCTCAGAGACTACAGATGTATCAAATGACATTTTATAATACCAATTTCAGTATTTCAGAATTTCAGTATACTAAGTACCCTTTAAGGGTATATGCAGATTTCAGATAAGATCGCCCATATTTGTTTAGTGAAAATAGAAACAAATCCCCTTTTTAAAAAGAAATTTCTAGAGGTTGGTTTCTTCTTGACATTTTAGACAACTCTCTGGGAGAAACCAGTTTTTGCACAAATATTTTAGTGACTGTCTTTTCATTTCTCAGGCCATTGATAAGATTTATATAAGATTTTAATGTTTTTATATAAGACAAGACTGGCTTGAATTCTTTTACTTGTAAGAAGCAGCAGGAGAGTTAAAATGAGATGCCACAAGGAGATCTTTTTTTCAATAATGGTCACATCAGAAAAAGAAACAGTTCAACTCTGGATTTCTTAACTGTATCACTTACCAGGCAAATAAACGCCTTTTATATGCTGATGAAATCCATACTCTGTTAGGCCAAGGACCATGTGGGGGCCATGTCTGACTTGCCCTGGCTTCACGAGGGGGAGAGAGAATCAAACTCAAAATCAGCCCAAGGCCAATTCTGTGAAGCGGAGGTCAGACATGCTTCCACCCTAGAACCTTCTTTCCCCCATTCTGACACCAACTATCCCTCCTACAGCACTCTCTGCTTCACATCTGGGTTGGACAATCCATTGCCATGGCCACACAGAACTCATAATAATACTCACAATTATGGGGTTTACTAGGGAAATGGACAGGGCACAATTCAGGATCAGAAACAACTCAGGACCCAGCAGTTCGCCAGTCAGGAACACATCTCATCTGCCAGACTGCAGGCACGCCTCACTCTTGTCTTTGCCATGTGGTCCCTGGGCCTCTTGCCTTGCTGGAGTAGGTGTTACACAATTCTTTTAGCCAGTTACTGAATGTCCAAAGGGCATGTTCTGCAAGCCAGTCTTCTGCCCGTAGGCACTCACCTTTATTCAGGCCTAGAGCCTGCAGCTGTTCTTTCTCTCCATGCAGCCATCTCTGCCGCAGCCTCAGCAGTCACTGTTTGCTAGGGATCTGTTATGTCACCATGCTTTTCCTTCTGGATGGTCTGGGATCATCACTCTCTGCTTCTAAGATGGCTCTTTTAAACCTAGCTGAAGGGCAAAACTAACCAATCCCAGCCTTAGAGTCCTGTACACCCTATTTTCATGGTCCCACCCAATCACTTCAAGTCCTGGTGTGGCACTGTGGATAAGCACTTGACCTCAAGGTGAGTTTGAACCCAAAGTCGGTGTTCAAACTCACCAACCACTCCTAGGAAACACTATACAGGGTCACTATGAGCCCAAACTGACTCAATAGCCCTTAACAACAATACCCAGTCACTTGGTGGGAATTAAGAAGACTTTGGATAGAAAAGCCATATCAAGTAAATTCATGGTGCCCCAAGCCACCCCTAACTTTTCTAGCCATTGTCTTTCATAAATGAAGGATTAATACTCACTTTCAGTTATACATCTTCTACAATTAGTTTTGAGAATCACAATTAATCCTAACAATTATTATTGAAATAATAAAATCCTATCAGCATCTTCCCTCACTGTCTCTTCACCAGACTCTCTGGAAAGGAGGAAACTATTCAGTGAGGATTCTCCCCCTCACTCTGTGACTACACCCATAAAAGCTTGTAAGCCAGCCACTTCATGCCTTTATAACCCCCTCATTTTTGATAGTCAATGTCTAAATTGCCTGTCCCTATCAACTCTGGTAGCGTAGTGGTTAGAAGTCGGGCTGTGAACCTCAGGGTCAGCAGTTCGAAACTACCAGCTGTTACGTGGGAGAAAGATGAGGCATTCTGCTCCCATAAAGATTTATAGCCTCGGAAACCCTGTACAGGGTCGCCATGAGTTGGAACCGAGTCCGTGGCACATAAGAACAACAATCAACCCAGTACACTGAGGGAACAAGCATGTTCCTTGATATGAAGAATCTTCCATTCCAGTTGGAATTTTGAGCAACTGCATCATAAGCAAAAGTCTAGTTCATCAAATTGTAGCAAGTTATACTTGTTCACAGTGTCAAGCATCTTTATCTTCATCTGGTCAGCTCAGCCCTAGCCATCCAAGCTAGGTCAAATTGGTACCAGGTACAAGTTTGGGAGTTTACACATATACCTCCTTGTACTTCAGACCAGCTGGCCCCTGACTGTCAGACCTAGCCCCCGGGGATTAGGTCAGTACCCATAAGCTCAGGAGTTCATTCACACAACTCCCTAAACTTCAGACCAACCAGCTCTTCCTTTCCTCTCTTTCATCTCAAGGTCAACAGGTGTCAATGGAACATGTCCAAATTCAGCCCGTGTCTTCACTGCTGCATTTCTCCCAATTCCACCCGGGTAGTCACCAGTGAGTGTACTAGACTGCTGGCCAGCTCCCTTTAACTTTCCTAGAAGTCCTAGAAGGGGTATTTCTCTGATGGGCACACACTTCCTTGCCTTGATGCCTCCAAAACAAACAGCTTGCTTTAAACTCAAAAAGTCATAAACAGTCCACTTTTTTCTTCTTCCTTCAGTTCCCTTTCAGTCATAAATCTCCTGTCTTCTCAGCAGTTCGGGGTGGGTAGTCTTGTCTTTTCAAATGCAAATTACCCATTCTGAAGGTTCTGGGTGAGCTTCAGGATTCCACCTAAGGCCTCATACTTTTGCTATTGTTGTTGTTAAGTGCCCGCCAGTCGATTCTGACCCATAGTGACCTTGTATAGGGTTTCCAAGGAGCAGCTGGTGAGCTTGAACCACCGACCTTGCAGTTCAAACGGCTTTGCAGTCTGGTGATTTAACCCACAGCGCCACACCAGGACTCCGCCTCATACTTTACAAAGGCTTAAAACAAAAAGTATATTTCTGGGCAACATCTAACTCCCCTTTTAGCATATCCAATCAAGTGTAGGATGAAGGCGGGCTTACAAACTGTAATTATAATGCAATATTCATTTTTATCACATCTATATATTTTTTACTCTGGTAGCGTAGTGGTTACGAATCGGGCTGCGAACCTTAAGGTCAGCGGTTCGAAACTACCAGCCGCTCCGCGGGAGAAAGATGAGGCTTTCTACTCCCGTAAAGATTTACACCCTCGGAAACCCTGTACAGGGTCGCTATGGGTCGGAATCGACTCGACGGCACTTAACAACAACAAGCAGGAGAAACCAATATCCCTAAAACAGTCAAACACAAACATTTAAAAAAACACTCAAGTTCTATCTTTTCTCCTCCACCCTTAGACTGATCCCATTCGTATGTATATGGCCTTGGGTATCTGGCAGGATATACCCAGTGAGGCCTGGAATCAGCAGAACATCTGCACCTGACAACTCCAGACGTTGCTTTTCCCACCCTTAGCTTAAGCATTTTATCTCCTAATTGGTAGCATAGTGGTTACGAATCAGGCTGCGAACCTTAAGGCCAGCAGTTCGAAACTACTAGCCTCTCCGCGGGAGAAAGATGAGGCGTTCTGCTCCCGTAAAGATTTACAGCCTCGGAAAACCTGTACAGGGTCACTATGGGTCGGCACCGACTCAATGGCACTTAACAACAACAACATTACAGGCAAACAGAATCCTGACCCATAGCGACCCTGGTAGGGTTTCCAAAGAGCAGCTGTTGAGTTTGAACGGCTGACCTTGCAATTCAAACAACCTTTGAGCCCAGTGCATCACCCACAGCACTCATCAAACTAACCATCTAAAAATCACAAGTTATACTTTTTACACCCCTTGGTTCTTTCTTTTTCAAAATTTCAAGTTTCCATGAGTGTGTATGCCACTCCTGATGCCAACTTCAAGGACTATGTCTGACTTCCCCTGACTTCACAAGAGGAAAAGAGAGTCAAACACAAAATTAGCCCAAAGCTGATTCCTATGAAGCTGAGGTCAGACATGCTTCCACTCTTTCCTGTATTCTTTCCTGTATTCTGACACCAACCATTCCTCCCACAGCACTCTCTGCTTCACTTCTACAATCCATTGCAATGGCCACACCAAACTCAACAATAGTCACAATTATGGGGTTTATTAGGGAAGTGAGCAGGGTACAATTCAGGATCAAAACCAACTCAGTTCTTCTGTCACGAACACTTCTTATCTGCCAAACTGCAGGCAGGCCTCACTCTTGTCTTTGGTCTCTCAGCCATGTGGTCCCTTGGCCTCTCCCCTTCTCCAGCAAGTGTTACAAAGTTCTTTTACTCAGTCTGAGAATGCCCAAAGGGCACATTCTGTAAGCCAGTCTCCTGTCCATAGGTACTCAGCTTTACTCAGTCCATGGCAGGTAACCCGAAGCTGCTCTGACTCTCCATGCCTTTGCCATTTGTGCTTTTTCTGACACTTCACTCATGTTCTTCCTCCTTGATGGTCCTGGGATCGTCCTCTACTTTTAAACCTAGATGGAGGGCAAAACTACCCAATGCCAGCCTTAGAGTCCTGTATACCTTATGTGCATAGC